GCAGGCAGGCAGGCAGGCAGGCAGGCGGGCAGGCAGATAGATAGATAGATACATAGATAGATGTATGCATTGATGGATAGATAGATGGATGGATGGACGGAACAAGGGACAGAGGGGATGGAGGGATGGAGGGGCAGGTGGAACGATGGGCTTTGGTAACGTTGTATGCATACATCGACGGATAGGGGAATCAATCATAATCTGCCTATGATTTTTGAATAACCTCCCCAATCGTCTCTGTATCATATAAACATTACCCTCATCCGTTATATCATGTCCATGTCCAGGTTTTGATGTAGTGTATTTTGTTCGATCACTTGCGCAATTGATGAGCACACTTGCTTGGGATTCGTGTACGCTGCATACGGGATTCAAGCAATTACTCTTCTTTTGATGTTGAATCTGAATTTCTTTATTGAAATCTGTGTAAAATTTCCTTTCAACGTGCCTCGTTGTTTCTTACCATAGATAGATGTATGCATTGATGGATAGATAGATGGATGGACGGACGGACCGAGGGACAAAGGGGATGGAGGGATGGAGGGGCAGGTGGAACGATGGGCTTTGGTAACGTTGTATGCATACATCGAAGGATAGGGGAATCAATCATAATCTGCCTATGATTTTTGAATAACCTCCCCAATCGTCTCTGTATCATATAAACATTACCCTCATCCGTGATATCATGTCCATGTCTAGGATTCGATGTAGTATATTTTGTTCGATCACTTGCGCAATTAATGAGCACACTTGCTTGGGATTCGTGTACGCTGCATATGGGATTCAAGCAATTAGTCTTCTTTTGATGTTGAATCCGAATTTCTTTATCGAAATCTGTGTAAAATTTCCTTTCAACGTGCCTCGTTGTTTCTTACTATTGATCGATCCTAATTTGAACAGTAGCGTTAAGATCTCGTCCAGATACAGATTCTTTCTGCACCACGATTCTTAGCGTATAGCCTTATATAGATTTTTTTTGCACCTGGTCCACGGTTCTCTAAGAGCCTGAGACAGTTAATTATAATGTATTCTTTCTCGTGACGATTAGACGATGGTCCCTTGTATACCAACCAGTTCGATAACATAAAAGGTAATATACCTTGCCGATCATGTCCTTGCATTCTATCACTTAACATGTACTGTGTATTTGATAAATGGTCCCTCTAACTTCCACAATAATTGTTGATTGTTGGTCGAAAAGTGCATTTGATCACCGTCCATTTCTCATACCACATTCCACTAACTTGCTAAAAAAAAAAAAAAAAAAAAAGTTATCTTAGCTTTTGGTTGCAGTAAAGGTAACAACGTCGTTGTGTATCAAAATTGCTCTACCTTTACTGCAACCGGTACAAGCTACATCACAGGTAAAAGCTAAGATTTTTTAACATCACCGGTAACAGCTAAGATAACTTGAACATCACCGGTAAAAGTTAAGATAACTTTAACATCACTGGCAATTGTTACCTCCATTTCTCATACCACATTCCACTCACTGGCTAAAAAAAAAAAAAAAAAAAAGTTATCTTAGCTTTTACTAATTGCAGTAAAGGTAACAACTTTGTTGTGTATCAAAATTGTTGCCTTTACTGCAACCAATAAAAGCTAAGATAACTTTAACATCACCAGTAAAAGCTAAGATAACTTGAACATCACCAATAAAAGCTAAGATAACTTGAACATCACCGGTAAAAGCTGAGATAACTTGAACATCACCGGTAAAAGCTCAGATAACTTCAACATCACCGGTAAAAGCTAAGATAACTTGAACATCACTGGTAATTGTTACCTTTTATTTCTCATACCACATTCCACTCACTGGCTAAAAAAAAAAAAAAAAAAAGTTATCTTAGCTTTTGGTTGCAGTAAAGGTAACAACATCGTTGTGTGTCAAAATTGTTGCCTTTACTGCAATCGGTAAAAGCTAAGATAACTTTAACATCACCAGTAAAAGCTAAGATAACATGAACATCACCGGTAAAAGCTAAGATAACTTGAACATCACCGGTAAAAGCTAAGATAACTTGAACATCACCGGTAAAAGCTAAGATAACTTGAACATCACCGGTAAAAGCTAAGATAACTTTAACATCACCGGTAAAAGCTAAGATAACTTTAACATCACCGGTAAAAGCTAAGATAACTTTAACATCACCGGAAAAAGCTAAGATAACTTGAACATCACTGGTAATTGTTACCTCCATTTCTCATACCACATTCCACTCGCTAGCCGTCAGAGTCTGTGACTTGAACATCATTGGTATGTGCTTTTTCGTATTGCGAATGTTACCTCTTTTTTTTTCTTTCCTCTTCGTCTATTCGATTGCTTTTTGGCTATGTTCCTTGCTCTGGTTTCTAGGTAAGGAATCAATCTTTTAATTAACGCTTCTTCCATTGATGCAATCTCATGTTCCACCACATTCCAGATTGGTACAAGAACATAGTACATGAACCAACCAAGTTTACGTAGCCAGCAATATAGCTTTTGTTGCTTACCCTTACTGAACTTTCGTGCAAGACTCACATGCTCAGTCCATCTCTTGTCTACTTGCCTTCTTGTTTTCCTAATAATCTAGTACTGATGACACTAGTCTGAGGGTGAGATAAGGACGTACTATACGCAGCTAGAAGAATACATAAGTCTAATTTGACCTTCTGCTGCTAATGAGATGACTACTACCGTCTTCACCCGAATCGAACGTCCGCCAGCTGTCCTTACAGCTGCATTTGGCCCAATTTTCAGTCCAGATGCGGCGATAATGACTGAGCGCTCTATTCGGGTGAGGACGGTAGTCGTCTGTAAAATTTAATCCAGTTTACATCATACCATGTATTCCATCTACGTATACTTACGAGCAGTTCCAACCGCGATGCTACAGTAGTCTGTGTATCAAGCCCCATTTCTCACCTAGGGTATGTCCCTTTGTTGGCATGTTCAGATTCTTTTTTTCTTTTTTCTTTTTGGCATGTTCAGATTCTACCTTCCCGGGATGTCACCCTCACTTGATTCATCCATTGATGTACCATAGTCATCGTCCTCTTCGTCAGATTCCGTCTCGCCGTCTTCATTGTCTTCATCATCACTTGATATACGTCTTGGTATTCTGTTTCGTGCTCCACCTGTGTTTCCAGATCTGAATCATGCACGTAGTCACGAACTTCGTAAATGATCAAACCCGGTAGAAAGTGATGAAGGGCTGCAATCGCCTGCAGCTTTTCCTTATACTCCAAGTCATGGAGCTTGCAGAGTTCTTTCAATTCAATGTACCGGAGATGGAGTAATTGCGCTTCGGTCATCGGCTCCACCCCGAAGTTTATGCTCCTCCGCTTTGCCCCTTGTCCACTGCATTTGGTTTCTTCTTCACGGATGGTGCACGTGCAATCACCTTCTTCTTTGCCCCAGATGTGGATGTGTAGTGCCAATCCGCACAGGTCCCGGTGCCCCAATCCTCACAGGTCGAGGTGTCGCTAATTTGGCAGGGCGCGGAGTGATAGACGATGATAGTTGTGGTGTGCATGACCGCATTGGCATATTTATCTTCTTCAATGCTCCTTTTACAGCAGCAAGCCCATATTTCATGAGCTTAACATCATGTGCTTTCAGTAGCCATGTGCTCCACCTTCTCTCCGTTTGCCGTTGTCGTCTCTGTCTTCTCCGACATGGCGTGTCCCTCCTTGAAGTTCCCTTTACTCCATCCACCCACTGGTGTCTCGGTAGAGCCACCTCCAATGCTTTGTCGATCATGCCCTTCCGCTGATCTGCTGTGATTGGTGTTGTTTCCTTCTTCTTATCCCCTTTCTCATTCTTCTCGTTCTTTTTATTTTTGTCATGCTTCTTCTTGTCAATGATTGTCTCCATCCTATCCGACAGTTTTTCCACCTGCTTTTTCAATCGGTCACAAAGATCTCCTCTTTGAGATCTGCGGTGAACCATGCCTGGTTTCCCCGTGGCGGGAGATCATTCCTCCATGGTTCCCGTTGATACCGCCCAAAACGCCTTGATGATTACAACTCGGCGCGTCTATTCCGTGCTGATCTCGATCTGGATCTGTGTCGATGCTCGTGAGGTGATCTGGATCTCCCATGCCTTGTTTGCTTCCTCCCATGTGATGATATGGACAACGGCGATGAGGAGTGTCTGCGCCTCATCCGACGATGATTCATTGTTTGAGCAACCATCATCTCATGACCCAACTCCATTGGCAAAATAGCACATAGATACCATCTACGATGAATGACCCAATCTCCACTAATACGTAAATGTAATATATAATATATATCCTCCAAAGTCCGACGACCGTTCCAGATTAGAATCACTTTCATTGTGCGATGTCAGTCATCCTACAACTTACAACCCGATAACAAAGTGTTAAGTACCAACAGTCAACAATAGGACTGTAATGCAATAAAAGTAATCTGATAGGACCTAACTAAACTTGCTTTGGGCCTGTGTTTTGTACCTAACTAAACAATGTAAACATGATTTTTTTGTTTTGTTTTGTTTTGTTTTTTGTTGTTGTTGTAAAGGATGACGACCTTGAGGTAGCATCATTGAGCTGACCAGGCCCATGTAATTCACAATCATCATTTTATTATGTTCTTCAGACTTCTTCTGGATTTGATCTTGGGTCTGTATTTCAGCAGGTCATGGGTATACCAACTGAGGTAGGCCCGTTGGTAACGAAGGAGTCTAAGGGTTTGTTTATTCTGCCCATTTCAGGGCGCTTTGGCAAAGGCAGACATCGTCCCTACCGACAATGAAAGGTACACTTACCAGCAGATGAGGGATGCCATTGCGGTGGACGTGGGAGCCACTCCTCATATTGACTGCAAGAATGGAAAGTTGTCCGAAGTTTGGATTTGCCTCCAGAAATATCCTGATTCAGATAACGAATTCAAGGTATTTCTTGCCTTTCCTGTGCCTCTTACTGCTCCCCTTGCTTCCCCCAAACCTCTCTCTCTCTCTCTCTCTCTCTCTCTCTCTCTCTCTCTCTCTCTCTCTCTCTCTCTCTCTCTCTGTGTGTGTGTGTGTGTATGTGTGTGTGTCTTGAGTGCGCATGTGTGTGTGTGTGTGTGTGTGTGTGTGTGTGTGTGTGTGTGTGTGTGTGTGTGTGTGAGAGAGAGAGAGAGAGAGAGAGAGAGAGAGAGAGAGAGAGAGAGAGAGCTACTGGCATGGTGTCTATCTGTCTAGCATAGCCCAGACTCAGAGATGTTTGCAGGTTTGTACACAAAAGCGCAAGGAAGAATTTGAAGAATGGAATAGAATACATCTACAAGGCCTACAATTCCGGGCAAGAGTGAGGGACTGGGAGCTCAATGAGAAAATGTCCATTCCTTGTTTCAAAATTTTGAGATCCAACTCCAAGAACAAGAAAATAGCAGAGAGGGATTGTTGTGTGATAATCATGGGCAAGTTGAGACTCAGACATCACAAATTTCAGGAACAGCTTCAAACTTCTTCCAGCAGTTATATAACATCAAGATATCTCCAGGAGGGTCCATTGCAATAAAGAGAGCTAGAGAGAGAATTCCTATCTACCTACACAAATTGCTTGTGTCTGAACTTTGAAGTTGCAGAAAAACTAGAAAGTCCGAGAGCTATACAAGAGCTTTACGAGGCAAAAACAAAAACAAAAACAAAAAAAAAGAGCTTTATGAGGCACTCAAAGCAATTAAAGCCTAATAACTTAAATAAAGTTCCATGATGCAGTGATGGATTATCCAAAGACCCATGGATGGATGGCAGGTTGGGATTGGATGGGGCCGAAACGCTCAACTCCTTCCTACTGGATGCTTGGGAGGTGGGTGGGAAGATTAGATTGTGAGCTGCCTTGGGCACTGGGCCCATTCAAAAAAAAAAAAAAAAAAGGGGTTGTGAGCTGAGTACGGGGCTAAGCGTAGCATACGCAATTATGGACCCATCTCTCTTTTGAACCACCACCAGTACTTATGACCAATTCTTTGCCAAGCCTAGAAATGCTAGGCCCTGTGCCCCAAGTTGAAAAAGGAACCGGCATGTTTTCTTTGTTGGCTGGCACCACCAGCCATTTAGCTCCAGTAGGCTGTGACCCGAAAGTTGCGTCGGAGAAAAATGGCTGGGGAACGTACAGGGAGTTAAGGGTAAAAAAAAAAAAAAAAAGATCGTTGCTAAGCTATCAATGAATAGAATCAAGAATATTACAAGAGCGTTTCCAGTAAGAAGATCAGATGCGTTTTATGCAAGGAATTTGGCAGGGAGATTTTATTCCAGGCCATGCAATGACTTTTATGATTTTATCTGAAACCATGAAAGTCATAATTGAGACAAAGATCAAGGCATTCAGTTCTTTTTCCATTTTGGGAAACTCTATGATCAACTTAGATCAAGTGAATTGGGACTTCCTCCAACAATGGCGTACACGACATCAGCTCCATCGCTGACAACGCTATCAAAACTGAGAGAAACAACGGCATCGATTTCGCCTACACCGCTGGTATCTCCAATAACAAAAACGACAACAGCAACAACAACGACGACAACAACAACAACAACAACAACAACAACGACAACGACAACAACAACAACAATGACAACGACAGGCCTGCTGAAATGACGCTCACATATGTACAGGCCATTAGTATTGATAACACTAACTGCACCGGCGACGATAAGACTGTGCAGGACAGCGGCAGGGAAGGAGGGATTTCGAGTTTGTGCTCGTTGGGGAGAAATATTGATTACATCAGCAACAAAAAAACAAGTCAACTCTGCCGGTGACAACAACAACAACAGCAGGAATAACAATGATGATTCTCATGGCGGGGCAAGTGCGATTGGGGATTCTCTTCCCCCCCTCTTCCCCTTCCTTTCCTTCTTGTTTCCCTTTAGTTCGTTGGATTTTGATTGGGGGGATGGGCGAGTGGGGTGGCCGAATGGAGTGAGTGGAAAACAGCAAGGATGTGTGGTGGTGCGAGGAGAGAAATGGTGGCGCGAAGGGGTAGGTTAGATAATGCTAGACAAAATGATGGGATGTGGCCACAAGGTTTGGCCACCTGGCAACAGAATAACCATGCCTTGGGTATGGGCTTGCTTATCTGTTTGCCACGTGTAATTGGTGATCTTAATTTGTCACGAGTAATTGGCGATCCCACGCGGGGATTTTCATTTCAGTTGCGCTACAAACTCGCCACGTGGCAGCGCAGGAGGAACAGTAGTGTTATGCACTGGGGCAGCCTATGTGGTTCACTGCTGTTCTGTGAAGTGGGTCACAATGATGAATCTAGGTTTTGTTATGGGATTCGCCACAATTGACTTTCTACCTCCCTACTCTGATTACCTCTTCCCCTCATGGCGCAGTAATTCTTTTTCTAGAATAAGATGAGGGTTTCTGAGTAGGGATATATCTTTCGTGTGATGGGTAGTTAATCCCCAGGGTTGAGGGCAATCAATGCTGCTCATTAGGTTGAATGGAGCGTGCCTACGTGTTGGCTCATCAATTGCTCAGGATTATAGTAGGATGAGCACGTGGCATGTTATATGACATCTGGTTGTTTATAATAGGACGCTGGACCCGTTTTCCAGCAGGTGATGCTCCCCACTAATAGATGGAGCCTTACCGAGCCTGCTAGAGGTGTCTGCTTTTATCAGCGCTCCTTGTTTCTTCCAACCACAACCAAAAAAAAAAAAAAAAAAAAAAAAAA